ATTCTTTTTTTGTTTTTTCTTTCTCTCTCCAATTCATCTCGAGATTTAGAGCAGCTACAGGTTTCTCATGCCCAAGAATAGGTTCAGCAGCGTCGGGCGTAATTGTATGCATGCTCGAGAAGCCTGTGATAGGTTTCTTCTCCAGGCATGTGCCGACTTGCTCTCGAGAGCCAGGGCAGTTGCAGAGGTTTCATGCATGCGAATGGGTCGGCTGCATCGGGCGTATTTGTATACGTGCTCGAGAAGCCTGGGATCGGCTTGCTTCTCGATCCATGGACGAAGAAGTATTAGCACATTGCAAGTTTTTTGACACGTATTCAGTGTTCCGACTTGATCTCAATTTTTAGAGCAGCTACAGAGGTTCATGTGCACCAATAGCTTCAGCAGCGTCGACAGCATTATCTTGGAAGGTCGAGGCCTGAGACGGGTCCACTTCCCGAGCTATGGCAGAGAACCATATTTGCACTCTGCAATTTGTCTGGGTACATGCTCAGTTTTTTTGACTTGATCTCGAGATTCGAGCAGCGACAGAGCTTTCAGGTGTACCAAGAGCTCCTGCAGCATCGACAGCTTTAGTCTGGATGGTCGAGAAGCCACATATCTGTCTGCTTCTCGAGCCCAATTTTGGGGGCAACTGATTGGTTTTTCGACATGATCTCGGGAATTAGACAGCTACTGAGCTCATAGTCGCATTCAGTAGCATCGATATCTTTAGTCTGGAGCCTCGAGAGCACCGACCTCGGTCGCCTATCCGATCTGTATCAGAAAAGTAGTCACATTAGAACATTCACGCGGGTTTACGCGAGATTTGAACAGCTCAACTCTCTTATAATTAGCTACGGTTGAAATTTAATATCATTGCAATCGCCTGTGCGGTCATTTGTACAGGTGTCTCTGCTCGGACAGAAACGATGCTTTCGCCTTAGGAAGAGTCTTTCGGCTGCCCTTTGACATTTGTTCGGAACGCGCGGAGCTCTACGAGGGTTCCGGCGGTGACCGGGTTGATGGTTTTCCGCCGGCGTCCAGTCGGCTGCGACTGCGGCTGCGGCTGCGGCTGCGGCTGCGGCTGCAGCTGCGGCTGCGTCTGCGGCTGCGGCTGCGGCTGCGGCTGCGGCTGTGGCTGCGGCTGCGTCTGTGGCGGCGGCAGCTGCGGCTGCGGCGGGGGCGGCTGCGGCTGCGCAGCTGCGCCTGCGGCGGCTACAGCGCGCCTGCGGCTGCGGCTGAGCGGCTGCAGCGGCTGCGGTTCCAGCGGCTGCGGTTGCGGCTGCAGCGGCTGCGGTTGCGGCTGCGGCTGCGGCTGCGGCGGCTCTGCTGCTGCGGCTGCGGCCCAGGGATAAAGACTCCGGGCTCGCTGCGGCTGTGGCTGCAGCTGCGGCCGGGGGCGCTGCGGCTGCAGCTGCAGCCGCTGGGCTGCGGCTGCGGCTGCGACTGCGGGTGCGGCCGCGGCCCAGGGATGAAGACCCCGGGCTTGCTGCGGCGGTTGCTGTGGGTGTGGCTGCGGCTGCGGCTGCGGTTCTGGCCGTGGCTGTGGCCGCGGCTGCGTGGACCTGGGCAGGTCAAACAACTGTTCGCATTTCCGACCTGAGCATGACGTTGAATTGCTTGACACACACATGAGTGCAGAAATCCCATTCCATGGGCGACCAGCCCGATAAGTGGCGGGCGACCATGCCAAGAACTGGCGGGCACCAAATCCGAAGGGGCGACCATCCCAAGAACTGGCGGGGCACCGGACCCAAGAACCAGCGGCGCAGCCAGTCGTGCAAACTGGTGGCGCGGGCAGCTGCCACTACTGCTGGGGCCCACGCGCCGTCCCCGGGACAGTCGCATGACCATAAGGCCGAATGCCAAGAAAGGCCATGTGGCGCGAGAGTCTTTAAATACCCCAGGGCCAGAGCGGGAAGTGAGTCGTTCTGGAGGCAAGCGGTTGCTGGGGATGGTCAAGGACTCGGCGCTCACTGTAGTGCCGGGGCCGATGAGATTATTCAGGTGATGTCTAGCTTGTTGCAGGTTCGCAGCCGCCAGAGCCAACCTCCCGGCCAGTCGCTAGAACCTGAATGGAGGGCGGAGTCGGTCAGAAGTGCTGGCGACCGCTGCGCGCTCTCAGCGGAACTGGGGGCAGAAGGAGAAATGGGAAATCAACGGAGACAAAGTATTATGCGGCGGTCGCGATTTTTTCGTGGTGGTTTGTCTTCTGCAGCCGCGGCCGCGGCTGCAGTCGCGTCCGCGCCGGGGGGGTGAGAAAACCATCGCGGATTTTTCGCTGTGGTTTTTCTTTCCTCTCCAAGCTGGGGCAGCCGCTGGGAATGCAGCTGCGGCTGGGGCTGATCGCGAATTTTTGGCGGTTGTTTCCCCTTTCGGCCGCGGCCGCGTAGGTGGGAAAGGGGGAAACTATCGGATTTTTTCGCGGTGGTCCCCGGCTGCGGCCGCGGCTGCGTCCACGACCCCCAGGTTGGGAGGAAGAAGCAATCGCGAAACCGCGGCCGCTGCAGCAGGGGGGCGCCGAAGAATTGCAGCAACCTCAGAGGGGGTCACCTGTGACAACTAGTTATTGTCAGGGCATGCGGTTGCTGGCGCTAATGGCCGGTGCACCCAGACGTGGTGCGCCAATGCGTCGGGTCCGCGCTCCACGGATATTTCCGCCGCTGTTCAGGAGAACGAGGTGCGGGAGAAAACGGGGTCCAAGTGCATCCTCGTCCGGGTGACTTTTTCCCGCTGCTTAAGAGAGTATGGTCAGCCAGAAAACGGATTGCGAGCGCATCCCCGTCGGGGCGACTCCACGGAGATTCCCGCCGCTACTTCGGAGGACAAGTCCACTTGTATTTTCGCCGCTGCTTAGGAGAACAGTTTTTCCTGGACGTTGTTCTCCATCAGTTTTTGCACTGGCGCTCAGAGCCTCCGACACGTAGCAGGAGGAGACGAACGTCGCGGTAACACTCGTCGCCAGAATCGCTGCCGCCACGCGAAAACGTGGGAGAGCGGGGGGTGGCGCGAGGGAGGGAAGAGAAGACAAGAGAAGGAGAGGAGGGAGGGAGGAGGGGGGAGACAGAGGAGGGCCCACGCGGGCAAGGCGGTCATTTCACATCATCTCTGCCCAGCGCCATAACGAAAGTGAAATTTACGCATGCTAAGTCCTGCTCAGCCCATGAGAGATCCACTTCTCCAGCAGTGCCGTGGGGTAGCCAGGTGCCCCGCGCAGTTGCCGCTTGAGTGAATCCCCGACGCCCCGACGCTATCCACTGAGCACACTTGGCTGGTATAGTCCCGCACTCCGGCCACCGCCACGAGAACGAACCCTCGCTTCATGGACAGGGGAACGTGACTGTAGAAAGGCATGCACCCCGTGCCCGCCCCCAACGCTTTGGTAGATGGGCAATTGCAGACCGTGCCGCTGAGCCGGGGTGCCAAATCGAGTCACGCGAATGTGAAGCTGGTGTCGGCTTCTTACGGAAGCGGGTAGCGCCGCCACGCCATGGATTTTGAGTTGGAGGAGGACGGGGGGAAGGACGAGGGCGCAGATCAACGGCATGGAACCTTCCGCCGCCTTGCCGCAATCGCGCCACTGGGATTGCCGGCTCCCAGATTTCGCCGTAAGACGTGGCGCGGCGCGCACGGCATCCGATCTCCGGATGGGCTGGGGGCCGCCCCCCCCCCGCAGGTCCGACGCGCCAAAGAAATGGAGCGGGTGGTTTTGGGTCTTGGTCGGCATCTGGGGGCCCTCGCCGGGCCCCCGGAACGCCAGAAAACGACTCAGGAGGAGAAGCCGGCCGTGGGGAAGTGGTCCAGACCTCCAGAACCCACGCATCGAACAAATTCGAGCAGCCGAATGTCTGGGTCCTTGCTCCGCTCTGGCCCGTCTCGTCCTCGACTCCAGGGCCCCGCGCGTGGGCCCTGGAGAGTATCCTTTCCCGAGCCCCCTTCCGGGCGCCTGGATCAAAACTGATCGTGTGCAGCGCTCGAGGCCCCTGTTTGTTTGTGTCTACCGAAGACCTTATTTACGAGGAGTTCCAGAGGAGTTCTCAGGAGTCGTCGACAAAGTCCACGGCTGACCTTGCGACCCTGGGAATCTGCCAATGAGCTGTGGGAGGCAGCTGAAACCAACAGAGGCGCATCATTACCACCGTCACCGTCACCGTCACGGTCACGGTCACCGTTGCCGTCGCCGTCGCCAGCATCATCACCATTATCATCATCACCATCGTCGTCGTCGTCATCATCATCATCATCGTCACTGTCATAATTTTCCATATCATCATCATCATCATCATCATCATCATCATCATCATAATCATCATCATCACTACCAACATCATCATCATCATCGTCATCATCATCAGCATTAGCAACATCAACAGCAGCACCAGCATAATAATCAGCATCAGCATCAGCATCACCATCAGCATCAGCGTCACCACCATCATCATGATATGAATCATCATCATCATCATCGCCATTCTCATTATCATCATCATCATGTGTATAACCACTACGATCAGTATCATCATCTTTATCATCATCATCATCATTATCATCATCACCACCATCACTCACCATCACTATCGCCATCGCCATCGCCATCACCATTCTCCATCATCACCATCATCATCATCACCATCCTCCTCCTCCTCCTCCTTCTCCTTGTCGTCGTCGTCATCCTTACCGTCAGCGTCAGGGTCAGCGACAGCGTCAGCGTCAGCGTCAGCGTCATCGTCATCGCCATCGTCGTCGACATCGTCATGGTCATCGTCATCGTCATCGTCATTGTCATCGTCATCATCATCACGACCACCATCATAGTCATCATCATTACCATGATCATAACCATCACCATCACTCGCATCATCACCATCGGTGCCATCAGCACGAGCAGTGTCACCATCACTATCACCACCACCATCATCATCGCCATCACCATCGCCATCACCATCACCGACACCATCACCGACACGATCATCAGCAGACAGCCGCCGCCACGATTCGAGCCCGCTCCCTCCGTAGTTCTCGGCAGGTCAGCGGCACGACGTCGCCGCGCAACGGCTTTGACGGCGCAGACCAGCAGCCTTCCACGCTCAAGGGCTGCTCGATGCGTCATCTGGCCGGTGTTCTTGTCGGCGTCCAGTTGGCAGTGTCATGGATCGATCGTGCAACGAGACTGTTTTCAATGCGAATCGCCACCGCGGAGATCTGCTCTTTTCGTTGGGCATCTGATCATGGCCCATTCCTGTGGAAGGCGACCCTTTTTAGCATCTTTGCTAGTTACTGCCCTAGCGGGCATTGGGTGTTCTGAGGCCGGTCGCAGAGACAGGGCCACCCGCGCTGCTCTGGATCCATCTCTTCTGCATATATTCGGCCGTGTTCGGCATGTGCCCACTGTCTGAAGTTTGACTGAGGCCATTTGCGTCTCAAGCCATCTTGGCTTCTGTGATTGCTCGGGGCCCATGGTGCCAGCTCCGCGTCGCAGGCGCCCGAGCGGCGAGAGCTTCGCGCGCACGCCCCCGCCAGTCTGGGAATGCTGTCGCGTCTGTGCTCCTCCTCGCGACCGTGCCTCTGGTCCTGTTCGTGTGCACTGATGGCGTGCGCTGCGATCTACTGCGATTCTTTGGTGGCTGCGTGCGTGCGACCGCTGGGCATCCATGTTCCGGGCGCTTTGCCGTCCACGAGTGCTGCCTTGAGCGCCCAGTCTCCCTTGCAGGGCCAGCTGCGAGGCCAGTCCCAGCGATATTCTCACAGCGGTTTCCGTGTTCCGCCTGTCCTGCCGCCGACGAGTACCGCCACGGACGCTCAGGCCCTTGTCGGGGGCGTGCAGGGCAGCTTCGACGGACATATCGCACAGGGACAGCCAGAGGGCCACCTCGGTAGGCCGAGCGAAGTCCAGCGTCACGATCAGCAATCCTCCGATGCCTGCATCGCCTACGTCCGGCGCGTCCTGAAGGCTCAGTTCGACACGCTGGCCTCTGAGCTAGTTTCTTATGGACAGAACGGCTCGAGGCGACCCGCGAAGCTTCCAGAAGTTTTTAGAGGTTGGCCACAGCGCTTTTCTGAGACTGGCCATGGCAATCTCTTCCGGGACGCTTTGGACGCCAGAGGAGATTTCGAGGAGCAGTTGGTGGCCAGGTTCATGCTCAGTGGCTCGAAAGGTCGAGACTTGAGCGTTTCTTGCCCTTGGGGCAGCGCCAGCGCTCACACTGATGGCTTGCTGGGTGGGCGCTGGGCGCCAACTTCCCCGTCCGAGCTGCCAGCTCACTTCACTTTGGATGAGATTGCTTCCCTGCGCGGTACGCATCTCTCCGAAGACAAGCCCAGCGACTGCTCGGTGGATGGACACGCTCAGCATCCAGGTGACAGTCGGGCCTCTTCCCTCGAGCCACTCACCTTGCACTGGTCTGGCTGCGACGGAGGGGCCTGCAAGGGAATCCGCGGGATCGCTCGCTGGATGGCGGCGACGGGACTGCGCGGCCCTCTGCTCTTCGTCGGGGACTCGGTGACGAGGCAGCGGCACGCCGCCGCCGTCTGTGACCTGCGCCGGTCCAGCTGCGCTCTGCGCCACCGTCGGCAGGTGCTGCTCGCACCGCTGTGTACGCTCGATTCGGCGAAACCTAAGACTCGAGTGCGCCGGAACTCGGGTTTGCCGACGCTTTTTGACGAGCGCGTCCTGGGTCTTGACGGTCTGGTCTTCGTGGGATGTTTGCAGCGGGAGCTCGAGTCAAATTTCAGATTAGTTCTCGTCATTTTCTCTGATGGCCCCGTGAGGCCAACCCGAGTCCCCCGAACCCGAGTCTTACGTCTCACCGATTGATCTGACAGATCGAGCGACATCAATTGGCCACCTCGCCGATCTCCTCTTCCTCCTCCTCCTCCTCCTTCTCCCCCTCCTCCCGCTCCTTCTCCTCCTCCTTCTCCTCCTCCTCCTCCTCCTCCTCCTCCGCCTTCTCACCGATCTTGGGCGGGCCCACTCTGGGTCCAGGATCGGCGTGGTTGCGTCCTTCCGTCTTTTGGCGAGGGGGGCGTGCGCACCGAGATCCAGTGCCGATAAGCAGTAGGGGGAGAAGGAGGAGGAGGCGGAGGAGGAGTAGGGGGAAGGAGAAGGAGGAGGAGGAGGACGAGGATGAGGAGGAGGGGGGGGAGGCGGATGATGATGATGATGATGATGATGATGATGATGATGATGATGATGATGATGATGCTGATGCTGATGATGATGATGATGATGATGATGATGCTGATGCTGATGATGATGATGATGATGATGATGGTGATGATGATGATGCTGATGCTGATGCTGATGCTGATGCTGATGCTGATGCTGATGTTGATGCTGATGATGCTGCTGATGATGATGATGCTGATGCTGATGCTGCTGCTGCTGATGATGATGATTATGCTGATGACGATGATGATGCTAATGATGATGACGATGATGATGATGATGATGATGATGATGATGATGATGATGATGATGCTTGCGATGATGATGATGATGATGATAATACTGCTTGCGATGATGCTGCTGATGATGATGATGATGATGATGATGATGATGATGATGATGATGATGATGATGATGGTGGTGGTGGCGGTGATGATGATGCTGCTGCTGATGCTGACTGATAATGCTGCTGCTGCTGCTGCTGCTGCTGATGATGATGATGATGATGATGATGATGATGATGATGGTGGTGGTGGTGGTGGTGGTGGTGGTGGTGGGGGGGTTGTGGTGGTGGTGGTGGTGGTGGTAGTGATGCTGCTGATGATGATGATGACGAGGAGGAAGAGGAGGATGAGGAGGAGGCGGGAGGAGCAGGAGGAGGAGGAGGAGGAGGAGAAGGAGGTGGTGGAGGAGGAGGAGGAGGAGCAGGATCGGCCGGGCCGGGCTCGGTGAGGTGGTCGGCTCATGTCGCCCGAGTAGAGTGGGAGTGCGAAGAGGGCCGAGATCGGTTTCCTCTTGATCTGCGCTATCTGGAAGTCGATGATGGCGGAGGTCGCATATGGTCTGGTGGCTTGAAGATGGCTCTGTACACGTCCGTGAGGAACTCATCCGTCGTTTTGATCAACATCGGCCTGCACGGTACTGGGACTGTGCGGGAAGTGGTCGAGCTCCTGCTGAACGCGTCACGCGAGAATCCATCGACGCGGATAGTGTGGGCGGAGACTACAGCGACGCATTTCGAAAACGATGCAGGCTATTACCAGCATCAGGTCGAGTGTCCTCATGCAGATTTGATGCGTGGCAACTCGACGTGCCAGCTTCCTGCCGATCTGTGGTGCAGCCCTTTTGATATCCGCATCTTCGGAAATTCGATCTATAACAACGAGACGGCTAAGGTGTTTCAGGAGCTAGGCGCTGATAGTGTCATACCTGTGCTGCCGATCCACGCCCTCACGCAGGGCAGATGGGATATGCATCCCGAGACACGATCAGATGCATTCAGCCGCGTCGAGGGTAAGAACGGCCGTGGCGATTCTGTGAAGTTCACGCGTGATTGTACGCACTGGATTTATTCTCCAGCCTTCTACGCACCGCAGTGGCAGATGATGCTGGACGTGCTCCAGAGCACAAACAAAAAGGGATTTACTTTGAGCTCCCTCGATTGCGAGGAGGTTCCAGGCGAAACGCTCCGTCCGACCTGTCGACACATTTAGTGGTACGACGCCGAAGACTCTACAGGCTTACGCCACATCCGCCGACCCCTTCTGTGAGTGTTGCGAGGCCAGGAGTTTCTGGCCAGCGGCGTCTTGTGTGAGGGTGCGATGTCGCGCGCGGGTGGTGGCAGATACGTAGGGGTCCAAATGTTTGCGTGATGCCGGTGGTCTGGGGCGTGTTTTGCGAGCGCTTTGCGTGCTGTGCACCCGGGTGCGGGGTGTCCTTCTCTGGGAGGTCGGCCTTTCGACCCGCAACCAAGTGGAGGAGCACTGGAAGACGAAAGGAACAAGAGTAGTGTGTGGAAGCTGTGATCAGCGAAGCATCACAGGGACAGATGTGGCAGATGAATCGAAACGGGTGAAGAGGCCGTTGACGTTCGCAGCGCGCACGAAACAGTTCGCGCGGCAGCAGCACATTAGCGCCGAGCAAGATAGTGAGCACGTCGCGAGGAAGAGTAAGGTTGTATGCGCGGAGTGCATTGCAGTTGGCGTGACGGCTCGCAATGCGGAAGCGTCTGGGGGTCTTTTGGGGGCCTCCTAGGGGCCTCTCGTGGGCTCCTTGGGGCGTCTTGGCGGTTTCTTGAGGGCCGTTGGCGGCCTGTTGGGGCGCTTTTGGGGCCCCCTGGGGCTCGTGGGGGCGGAAAGCTAGATTTTTGAATTGTTGGTTGCCCTCTTGGGCCCCTCTTGGTGCCGTCTTGGAGCCTTCTTGGGCCGTTTTGGGGACCTCTTGGGCCGTCTTGGGGCCATATTGGACCGTCGCGGGGCCGTCTTGGGGGCCTCTTGGGCCGTCTTGGGGCGGTTTTCAGGGCCTCTTGGGCCGTCTAGGAGCGTCGGAAAGCCCAGAAGGCGGATGTGTGAACGCTGTACGTTTCACGACGGGAATTCGTACATGTCTGCGTCCAGGGACCGTCTTGGGACGCATCTTTGGGGCCTTTCAGGGGCGTGTTGGGCCATCTGGAGGCCATTTCGGGTGTCTTCGATCGCTCTTGGACCGTGTGGGACCATGTTGAGCTCTCTTGGAAGTCACTTGGCGCGCTCTTGGGGCCGTCATCGGGGCTCTCTTGGGCCGTCTTCGGCGCCGCTCGAGCCGTCTTAGCGCCTTGCTGGGCTGTCTTGGGGCCCTCTTGGAGGCTTTTTGGGCCGTCTTGGGGCGGTCTTGGGGGCTTCTTGGGCCGTCTGGGAGCGTCGGAAAGCCCGAAAGGCGAATTTGTGAAAAACGCACTCTTCACGAAGGGAACGGGCTAATTTTTGCGTCTAGAGGCCCTCTTGGGACGCATCTTGGATGCCTCTTGGGGCCTCTTGGGGGCATCTTCGGCCGTCAGGGGGCCATCTTCGGTGTCTTTGATCGCTCTTGGGCTGTCTGGGACCATATTGACCTCTCTTGGAGGCCACTTTGGGCGCTCCTGGAGCGCTCTTGGGGCCCTTTTCGGGGCCCTGTTGGGCCGGCTTGGGCGCTTGTTGGGCCGTCTTGGGGCCCTCTTGGGCTATCTTGGGGCCCTCTTGGGGGTTTATTGGGCCGTTTTGGGGCGGTCTTCGGGGCCTCTTGGGCCGTCTTGGAGCGTCGGAACGCCCAGAAAGCGAATTTGGGAAAATTATACATTTTACGAAGGGAATGGGCCAGTTTTTGCGTCTAGGGACCCTCTTGGGACGCATCTTGGAGGCCTCTTGGGGCCTCGTGGGGACCTCTTGGGCCGTCTTGGAGGCCTCTAGGCTCGTCTTGGGGCCATCTTGGGCGTGTGGGAGCGCTCGTTTGGCGTCTCGGGGCCCTCGTGGGCCGTCTTGGAGGCCTCTTGGAGCCTTGTGGTCCCGTCTTGATCCCCTTTTGGGACCAAAAGAGCCCCGTGACGCGCTCGTGGTCGGCCCGGGGGGGGGGGGGTCGAATCTCCGGTTTGGGGTCCCTGGGGGGGGGATTATGGGGGGGGAACTATTTCACACGCCTAGAGACCCACAAGGGGTCGGCGGATTTTTCACAGGGGGTCTCTTCGCGTCACCATTTGTATTCTTTCGTGTGTCATCGTTCGTGTTGTTTTTTTGGTGTAGTTGTTCGTCCGGTTTTATAGCTAATGGTGTAATTGCTTCCACTCCCTTGAGAAGAGATGCCGCATTTGTACACTGGCATGGAGTGCGCGCTCCATAATGAAGAAACTATGTGGATGACGTTGGATATGTGAGTGGATCGGATGGTGGTGATAGGGCGGGAAGCACTCAATCTGAGAGTGTGTGCAGCGAGTGTGTGTGTGGTGGTGACGATAGTGATGATGAAGATGCTAAAGCTGACATGCTGATGGTGATGGACATGATGATGGTGATGGTCATGGTGTGATGGTGAACATGAGCGTGGCAGGCCTGAGGGAGAGAGGGTGAGTTTTTTTTTTCCTGCGCGGGGGTGTCCAGTGGAAACAAGAACCTCATTTAGGATATGGGGAACTGCTTCGAAACTGGTCCCGGGAATGGGTCCACACATTTAGCGACGCTCAGAGGGAGTGGAGGGAGGCCCTGGGATCAGAGGAGGACCTAGCGCTACCCCTGTCTCATGTTCGTATTCTTGGGCCTCCTGGGAAGCCCTGGCGACACGGCTTGACTCGCTTCGGATTATTGGTCAGAACGCACCCCCAGAGAGTCCAGGGAGTAGTGGTATTGATACTGCTTGGCTTCCACATTAGATCGGGGCCGCACAGCCAAGCATCGCGACAGCGCTTTCTTGTGGTTCTCGGCCATGACGCCGTTCCCCACCTCTTTGGGCCATCGGGTTACGCTACCGAATGCCCCTACCTTCTTGATTCATCTCATATGCTGATGGACATCTGTCAGGAGGGAAAAAACACAGATACAATTAATGGCCGACTTCCAGGAACATAGGGGAATCTATTGGAAGTGGGGGGGACCACGAAACCCAGACATGAAAATATGGGGAATCCTGGGATTTGCGTGTATTTATCTGTGTGTCCCTGGGCCCCCTCAATCTGTCCAGCACGCGTGTAGAGCACGCGAGGCAGCGTAATTTCACTGCTCCCGCGAGGCTTCCTGCGAGGCTCGTGGGTCTCTCTCGAGAGGTTCCTGCGAGGCTCCCGCAAGGCTCCCGGGGCGCCTGACAAGCTCCTGAAAAGGACCCTGTCAGGGTCCTGCGAGGCTCATGTTGATGGGCCCGTTTTCCATCACCACCACCAGAAATTGGATGGGGGGAAAGAGGAGGAGGACGAGAAGGACAACAAGAAGGAGGAGGAGGAGGACGAAGAGGACGAGGAGGAGGAGGAGGAGGAGGAGGACCCCCTCCCTTTCCAACTTACGGCAGTGGTGGTGGAAACAAAGGCCCATCACATGCGAACTCCGTGAGAGGTTCAAGGGAGGCTACTCAGATGCGGGACGAATCCCTGAAGGATGGAGAACTGGCCCAGGGACGAAGGGTTTGAGATCGCCAGGTGCCCACGTCACGAAGACACATGCGACGCTTGGGGTTCCCAGCCCTACAAAAGGCCGCTCAAAAAGGAAACTTTGTCGTTTGGGAGGGGATCAGTTTTTCTTAGTTGTTCTTCCGATTGCCTTAGGTTGTCCTTAGGTTCTCTATGGGGAATCGAAGTTGAACTTCTCGAACACATGGGCCTCGTTCCTACTTCAGGGTCCCTCATGCCAGCATTTCGACTGTAGGTCTCCAGCGGACCAGCTTTGAAGCTTGATCTGCCTCTCTTAGCTTCGGGAGGGGGGGGGGGCTTCTCGTGGCCACGGCTGGGCGCAGTTCGAGCAATCTTGTCAGGAGGGGGTCCATGGTGAGTTGAGTCTGGGGATCTGTCTTTGACAGGGGGCGGATGGGCGACCCATATTTCGTGGCGTCGCCGAACAAAAAACGTGACGGGCGCTAAATATCCAGGACGCACGGTTTGAAACAAAACAGCGTCGAAGGTATGTGTTACGATTCATATTGTAGCTATTCGGAGGTCTCTTGCAGTTGTCCGATGTGTTTTCCTTGAAACTTGAACGTTTTTCATTCCACGGGGTGTCTCTCAGCAGTTGCAGCTCGTCGAGAGCCCACTGGGGACGCCGCCCGTCGTCCCGAACGGCGACTCGCATTCTACACGCCCCCCGAACCTTCAGCGCCCTTCGCGAAGATCGGGTTGGTCGGTCCGTCAGAGATTGGCCAGAGGCTTGTTTCAGGCCCCGCATCTTGCTGTGCACGTGCTCGTTGTTGCGGTTGATGGCAACACGGTGCCTATGCCGTAGACGCCTTCGGCCGGGGGCCGAGAACATAGTTAGGGGTTAAGAAGATGCCTTTCTAGAGCCGCCTCGTGGCAGCTCGGGGCCGAGCCATTTGTGAAAACGAAAGGCACATACGTTCAAGGTTTTCACGCTCTGAACTTGCTGCTTCCCTTCGGGCGAGGAGACCTGTGCACATACACCGATCCTTGTCAGACCCATCCTGGGCCCAGGATCGGTGCAGAGGGTGGGCAACGAGAGTAGAGGCTGACGAAGCGCCGCGGCACGGTGACGATCGGAGTGGGGATGCAGCGCCGGACGGCGGGGGGACAAAAAGGATTCGGACAATGTATTGCGGGAAATGCAGCCATGTGAAAGCGAAGCAGAAGTCGCGGAGCGGCAACGCGAAGTGGAACGAGAGCGTCGGCACCGTGCGATGTTCCAACGATACGTGCCTGTCGCTGTATGGCGGGAAGGGGGAGATGTCGGAAGCTCAGAAGAAGCACGACGCTGCGGGGGAAAGGCTGTGTCGGAAATGCGCGGCAGAACGAGAGAAGGAGGTGCGACGGGGGAATGCTGAGGCAGCGAATCGCAAACGCAAGGCCGAGGCCGACGCGAAGTCCCTGACTTGCGCGGCGTGCGGAGGAGCGTTCTCAGACACGAAACATTTGAAGCCGGGGCAAGTGGAGGATCATCGAAAGGCGAAAGGCGCCAAAGTGGTGTGCGGAGGTTGCAAGGACCTCGGGTTCACAGCACGCAGTTGCCAGGCGTATCAGTGCAGTGGCAAGTGCCAGAGAAAATTACCAAAGTCGGCTTTCTCCGTCAAC